GAAGGGGCCTTGCCATGATGTACATGTTCTGGGCTAAGGCCCCAGCAAGCCTCGTGCCCGCCCTAAGTGAAGGCGGGCCAGCAAATCAACAAGAGCCCTCTGTGCRAACATTTCCCGAAGTGGGGTCCATACAGTTGCAGCACGACAGTTGGTTGGAGTGCACCGAGTCTCGAATCTCAGCAAATGTGGAAAACCCCAGGGCCTCTGAGTTAGTTAGCCCCGGGCACTTGAACGTGAGGCCGACAATGCATGCTGGGTAGAGAGGCCGAAAATGCCAAAGGGAAAATCGGCCACTATCTGAATCTGGCCGCAGGCCTTGATGAAAGAGGCGCAACTGCATTGCTTCGGCCCTCAATTGTATCGGGCTGAGTTCAGCCTCTGGGGCCGAGACGCAGGCTGAAGGGAGGCCGCCCACACGCAGCACTGGCATATAGGCAAGCAGGGCGAGTGGGCAGGGATCTTGGCCAATGCAGGCATTGCGGGCACGCTGCGCTAATGCATGTGTGCTGCGCTAATGCATGAGCTGCGCTGCGCTGGGACAAGCAGGCTAGCGCTAGGCGGTAGGGCGCTGCTTGCATGCAAGGCACTGGCGGCCATAGCCGGACCGCACGAGTGTGCAGTGAGGGTGAGGGCGAAGGTGGTCTTCGGAGGTGAAGGGCACTGTGGGTTATCAAGGGAGAGTGTGGATGATGAGGACACGTACCTGGTGGAGGTGGAAGTCGGCATTGGTGTTGACATCATCACTCGCTGGTAGTCAAGTTGTCTAGTTGCTTTCATTGCTGTAGTTGTAGGTATAGCCTGTGGGGTAGGTAGGGCGCCTGGCGCCATTCAGACAGAGAGCTACATTGGGGTATGCTGTTGGTGTTGCCCTGTTGGGCATGGACATTGACTCACGATTCTTCTGTATTGTTCTCAATTGGATGGTTACTCGGTTCCATTGTACTATCTGCTTTGGCTTTGACTACTTGGACTTCAGTGTGAATTTGCAATCTGGATTTCTGTGCTTTGTCCATATTCATGTTCCTTGCAATTTGGTATCGGAGCTGGTTTGATCGCCACTTACCTTTGGCACGCTGGCATTATACAAACTTGGTGCGTTGATGATGCTTCTTCGCAGTGGGTACTTGTGACGTTAGGCCACTTAGGCGCTCGCCCTGGGTAGAGAGGGGAGCACCGGAAGGCTACAAACTTGTTTGATTGATGATGAGAGCATGCTGATGTGACATTGGACTGAGGTCGCACCGCATTGCGTTGTGAGTGGTACCGAGGTCACGACCGGTCATCAAATGCAACATCGGCTCAATTGGTGAGAAAATCTGTGGTTGGGGGCAGCTATCTCCAGGTATGTTGATCCCTTACCTTATCTACCCTCTCAATCTCTTCTTACCGTGAGGAAGTGAGTCCAACTTGAGAGTCCTCTCCTTGGTGAGGTGTCGTGAGCGCGCTACCTTGAGAGACGACAATCTTCCCGGAAGCAATCTGGAAGGAGAAAGGGCGGCGCCTATGAAGGGCCCTGGTCGAAGCACTGGGTCACGGTCACCATGCCAACCCACAGGGAGTAGTGCACGCATGCGATGGCTGTTGTCCTGTCTGGCACTTGCTGCGCTCAATAAGAAGTGTTGTCGGGTGTGCCAACCTTTTAGAGACGCTTACCAGACCGTCTATAAATATTTCTGGTTAGGGGTTCATTGTGATCTGGTTGTGATCGTCGTCCTGACTGCGACGTTAAAGAATTCCTGAAGAGATGGGGGCGCTCTATAAATCCCTCCTGATCAGCCAGATACACACACGAACACTCTGCTCTGCTCCAAGATGTTGTTCAGTATGTTGGATTGAGGGGAGGGTAGGTTCCAATTGGTGCTCAAATGTAAACACAACCATACCCATCAATCATACATCTGCTACATTGTCTTTTTGTACCTTTGATTAGTTGGTTGACGGACTGCTGACCTCACAGACAGATTAGAGTAGGATTGTTGTATGCTACCATAGCTAGTTCTAACTAATGCTGCTGTAAGAGAACTTATCGAGGTACATCTAGACAATGTAGACAATCTGTGTGAATGTTGTGGAATGCCACTTAATTCGGTACAGTAGGGGACTCGCCGGACATAACTATATTTAATTAGGTGCTGGTCAGACATATGCTGCGGTAGGATTCCACTAGGGGATTCTAGTGCAGATATTGTCTGCCTAACTGATGAGTGGAACAGATCCTGTTGAGGATAGAGTTGACGACAGGAGGCTGACACGTTCAAGGGCCCTTAGGGTCCCGCACGTGTACCAGGCCCTACAACCGGGAGACGAAAGACGGCTTCAAGCCGAACGTAGAGCTTGTGCTCTAGCATCAACGAGAGCAACAGCAAACGCCGCAGCTAGGGAACAGGCTGCCGCGGCAGCTAGGGCGGCAGCCATGACTAGCTCAGCAGCATCCTCTGCGGCTTTGTCAGGGACTTATGGGACTCACTTGGGAATGCCACTAAGTTCCACAAGTTCCACGGGCACTTCCGGTTCGACGGGTTCGCAACAGTCTACTAGTCAAATGGCGGGATCGCAGTTCAGCCCGCTGACCCCACGCGAGAGGGAGCTCAGAGAGATCCAACAGGTCGAAAGGCTCCGCCAGCAGTTAGAGGAGGATCTGAAGAAAGCAACCGATAGAGAAAGAGATATAAAAAGTAGAGCGGCCAGACTTGATACGTTGGAGGCTGACAAGGCTGCGTTAGAGGGATTGGACGAAACGGGTTTGTCTAACCCCCTGAAAGTGTTGAAGAACAACATGTTGTCACTGCATGCGCACGTAGACAGCAGGTTGGACTTCATGCAGAGCACTTTGGACCCGATCCTGGATGCATTGACAAGGCCAGGATTTAGGTCACCTGCGCAATCGCCGTTGCCGTTATCGGCGATGTCAGGCCCCTTTCCGGTACAAGCTGGCACACAGCCAAGTGGTACATCTGCAGCAGTCTCACAGACTGTTGCGTCTTCTTCTTCGGGTCCAGCGGTGGGAGCTACACCATCGCAACAACAGGCTAGTCCTCAACCAGGACAGCCGCAAGGCCAATGGTATCGTAAGACCCTAATGAAACCGCCTCTTGCCTTCTCAGGTGAGGGAAAGGGAGAAGAGCTCAACACCTGGTTGAGAACAGTCCCGGTTTGGGTGAAGGCCAAGAGGACCTTGCTAGAGGACGAAGTGGTAACTGCGGCATCTTACCTCGAAGGTAAGGCAGCCAAGTGGTTAGATGGTGTAGTTATAAGGGTCGGGTATGGGAGACGCATGGCGGAGTGGGCTAAGTCTCTGACGTTAGACCAATTTATGGAAATGGTAGAAGCTCGATGGCATAATCCACAGGAGGCGCAGAGGGCCACTGATGCCATCTACAAACTAGACCAACGCAAGTTCAGGTCAGTTAGGGAGCTTACGATTACCGTTGAGAGCCTGATCCTCGTCCCGGGCATCAACTACAGTGACCAGTTCCTGTTAACAACGTTTGTTAGATGTCTCCCTGAGAACATCAGGAACCTACTAGCCAGTGAGGCACGCATCGAGTACCACTCGTTTGAGACATTGTCTAGGAAAGCCTTAGACTTAGAGGCCACACTAGGCAATGCTCAACCAACCTCTCACAATGACTCAAAGAAGAAGAAGAGTCCTCAGGAGTGGAAGAAGAAGGGAGCGAAGTTGATGATGGTGGAGTCCGATGAGACCTAGACTGAGATCGATGAGCTCGCTGGCCTGATGGACTACTCAGAGTATGACGGCGAGGAGGTAGCTGAGGGTAGCACCCTCGCCGCGGTAGTTAAGACTAAGGCGGCAGGCCGAGGGAAGGGCCAGCCTAGGGGTCAAGGGAAGGCCGCCTCCAATCAGTCCAAGCAGTCTGACTGGGCAAAGGCAGGTCTTGATCAAGACGTGTGGCGTGACCGCCGATCGCGTGGCGCTTGTATCAACTGCGGGGAATACGGACACATGCAGTACAAGTGCCAGAACGCTAAGGTTACGCAAAAGGTTGCTCCAAAGATGGGGGCAACCTACTCCCAGGCTTCAAGCTCGGGAAACGCGTAGGGCCAATGGAAGTAACAACCACTCAAGATGAAGTGGGATTGATACCCTCCCCACTTCATGAGAAGGCCAAGGCTAATGACCCCTTAGTCACCCCGCAGACTCATCCAGACCACACTATGCTCTGTACGTGGGATGTGTCTGAAGCCGTAGAAGACTTGGAGAGTGAGTGGTCAAACAAGGACCCTCGCGAGTCTTGGGTGGCACTAAGAAAATGTCCTAGAGGGGAACATTTCGTGGTGGAAGTCGATGTAGGAGGTCGCAAATGTGGTGCCTTCATAGACATAGGCTCCACGCGGAATTACATAAGTCGCAACTGTTTGGAAAGGTTGCACCTGCAAGACCGGGTACGACACCTTAGTAGACCAGTAGCATCTACTTTGGCCAACAAGGAGCGCATGATTGTAACGGACTACATCAAGGACGTAGTCTGTACCTTCTCCTATGGAGGAGGTGAGCTTAACCATAAAATCTCGTTCTTGGTTAGCGACGACTTGCCATTCGACATGCTGTTAGGCATGTACTACCTCGAAGTTGCTGAGCCCTAGTTCGACTGGGATAAAAAGGTGCTCAAATACAAGTTGCCCGATGGCCGAACTGTCAGATTGACTAAGTTCAAGGCCAGCAGTATTATAGATACCAATGGCTGCTTGTGTGCACCAGCATTCTATAACTACTACAAGCAAAACCAAGAGGAGGGTATGTACCTTGTTTATCGCTCTCAGAAGGGGGAGGCCGTTAAAACACCCCCAGAGATAGAACGCGTCGTTTCTAAGTTCCCTGATCTGTTCGAAGAGCCTTTAGGGGTTGTTGAAAGGGAAGTCGTCCACGCTATAGAAATCATTCCAGGGAGTAAAACCCCACAGGGAAGGATCTATAGGATGGCCCCTGCCGAGTTAGATGAACTTCGGAAGCAACTCAAAGAGCTGACAGAGAAGGGATGGATTCGGGCTAGTACTTCCCCTTACGGATCACCCGTGCTATTCGTACCGAAGAAGGCGGGTACTTTGAGGATGTGCATTGATTATAGAGGCCTCAATGCCATCACGTTGAAAAACGCAGAGCCTCTATCCTGCATAGACGACCTATTGGATAGAGTGCAGGGATGCAAGTACTATACAAAGATGGACTTCAAATCCGCATATCATCAGATCGCAATAAGACCCGAGGACTAACACAAGACAACTTTTCAGACTAGATATGGTCTATATGAGTTTGTTGTGATGCCTTTCGGTCTTTGTAATGCGCTGGGTACATTCCAGCACACTATGAATCGGATCTTCCATGACCATTTAGATAAGTTTGTCGTGGTCTATCTAGACGACATTCTAATCTTTTGTAAGTCTGCCGAGGAGCATGCACAACACATTGAGGCTATACTTTCACTCCTACGACAACACAAGTATAAGATCAATCTAGAGAAGTGTGAATTTGGTCGCACTAAGATACTATACTTGGGTCATGAAGTATCCGTGGAGGGAATTAGGCCGGAAGATGCGAAGGTGGCTAGTATTAGAGACTGGCCACGACCTCAGACAGTCACTGAGGTCAGATCATTCTTAGGAATGTGCGGCTACTATAGAAACTTCGTGAAGAACTATTTTACAGTCGCCTCTCCTTTGACTGATCTAACTCGACTTGACACACCGTGGGACTGGAGTGATGAGTGCGAGGGTGCTTTCAAGAGATTGAAGCATGCACTCATGAATCATGAGGTCCTCATGGTTCCCGATCC